TCGTCGCAAATGAAGAGGACATTGTGCTCCTTGCAGAGCGCGGACACGGCGGCGAGTAACCCTCATCGGGAACGACGACACCGGCCTCGCCTGGATGGGCTCAACGATGAAGGCGGGCCGTCTCCTTGCCGTGGGCCTCGAGAACCTCCTCCAGGTCGGCAATGTTGTTGTAGCGGATGGGCTTGCCGGTGGAGGGGCTGAAGGCTCCGATGCCGGGGACATAGGGGCCGTAGTTGTCGCGGGACTCGGGGTCGGTGGACAGGGAGATGGCAGTCATGGTGCGGCCGTGGAAGTTGTCCTCGACGGAGAAGACGAGCGCCTTGTCCTTCTCGACGCCCTTGACCTTGTAGGCCCACTTGCGGGCAATCTTGATGGCCGTCTCGACGGCCTCGGCGCCCGTGTTCATGGGCAGGACCATGTCGTAGCCGAAGACGTCACGGACCTTCTCAGCCCAGCGGGGGAAGACATCGTTGTAGAAGGCACGCGACGAGAGGGTCAGGCGGCCGGCCTGGTCGGCAAGGGCCTTGACGAGCTCGGGGTGGCAGTGGCCCTGGTTGACGGCGGAGTAGGCGGAGAGGAAGTCGAGGTACTGGCGGCCCTCGGGGTCCCAGACGTGCACGCCGCTACCACGCGCAAAGACGACAGGCAGAGGGTGATAGTTGTGCGCGGCGTACTCCTCCTCCGTCTTGATGGCGCCGTCGGTAGAGGCAGCGTGGTACTTGGAGGGGGTGGCGGCAGAGGTGCCGGAAGGGCTGTCGGCGTGGGGGGCCATTGTGTGAGAGGGAGAAGATGTAGATGGGAATGCAAAAATTGTGGGAGGTGTGATGTCAATCAGACAAATGCAGTGATGATCGTCAGGGTCGCAGGCTTGTTTGTTGCTCGTCAGAGCAAGGTATCATGTGAGGTTGAGGAACGCAAATGCACAGGGATATCCAAAGCAAGAGAGAGAGGTGTTGAGAGTAGAGGACAAGAAAGGAGGGGCCAAATCGCGGGGTGGTCTTTCTAGAAGGAAGGGGAGGCCTAGATATACCCTCTTTTTTTTCTCGAGAAGCAATGAACCACGGGTCTACGGGGGCCGGCACTATGAATGAAAACAGCCTGGAATCTCTTGGAACGTTTCCTAAGGCGCGCAAGAGGGCAAGAAAAAACCCCAAACATGACCAGATCATTGTTGCGCCTTGGAAACGGACGATTTGGCAGGACGCTCCACCGTGATACCCCTATGCGCAGGTTTACGCGGAGGAGCGGGCGGGCATGACACAGAGGGTACCGGCGGGCTGGTCACATGGGCGGTGGGCATTGGCGGACGTTGTTGAGGGGGCATGGGGCGGGGCGGCCGAGGGAAAGCGGAGACGGTCGCAGCTGATAGTTCCAACAACGACGATAGGTGAAGATGCTAGCAGGAGGTACGAGAAGGGCTCTTGGCTCCATTGTCGGCCAGATCGTCCGGATTGGGGAGGAGCGATGGAGGGCCGGTGAGAGCCAATGGGAGGCCAGTTGATTGTGTCTTAAGCCGACTGGGTGGTCCAATGGCGGAAGGTGGAGCAGGGCCCCCCCTTGAGACTCAGCGGCTACAAGCGCTACACTGAGAGCCCTGAGCCCCCTTCGAGGGCCCGTGGCGAGGACGGGTTTAGCAGGCGAGGCCGCCGTCGCTCAGGGGGCAGATCTGGGGGCTCCAGGGGGAAAGGAGCACCTTCCTCTCAATTCCGTTCTGACCGATGGTCAAGACACATTTCAGAAATCACAACACCACAGGCCAAGCATCACAGTCTCGCCCATTCTGACGAGACGCGCAGGTCGGCCATGGCTTCCGTCAGCTCCCGGCGCACGCCCTCGCACAAGGAGAGGCAGACGCAGAGGAGACAGGGAAAGCAGGAAAAACAGAAACAGGAACAGGCCCAGGCCGGCCACGCCGCGTCCGATCCCGACTCCGATTCCGACCCCCAACTCCTAATGGAAGCTCGAAACGAGCAGAACAGAACCGCCGTTCTTCTCCGCCTCCTCGTCATCCGCGCCTTCAACGCTTACTGGGTCACCACCTTCTTTCAGCCTGATGAGTACTTTCAAGCCCTCGAGCCTGCCTGGCAGATGGCCTTCGGCCCAGGCGCCGGCGCCTGGCTGACCTGGGAGTGGCAGCACCAGCTTCGCTCCTCGCTGCATCCCGCCCTCTTCGCCGCCGTCTACTGGCTGGCCGATCAAGGCGCCCGTCTTCTGCCCGTTTGGCTTGACGCCCGCCCCATTCTTCTGGCCGCCGCTCCGAAGGCTGCCCAGGCTGCCTTTGCCGCCGCCGGCGACTGGTGCACATGGCAGCTGGCCGTCCGTTTGTTCGGACCCGACACGAGTGCCTCCTGGTTTGCCGTAGGTTCTTGTCTCTCGTACAACGAGCTGTCTTATGGAATTGTGAGATGGACCAAGCTGACAGATGTAGCTATTCATGAGCATGTGCAACCCCTTCCATTGGTACTGCTCGACACGCACCTTTTCCAACTCTCTTGAGACAACGCTCACCGTTGCGGCCCTCAACTACTGGCCCTGGGAATTGTTTGCTGAGCATGAGTCGGTCAAAGAGAACCCCAAGGGTCCTTCGACCATCGTCAAGAGTGTCAATGGTCTCCGCCTCTCGCTCGTTCTCGCCGCCATCGCCGTGACGCTGCGTCCCACCAATATCATCATCTGGCTCACCGTCATTATCACCACATTCGCTACAACTCTTTTTAACCCCAAATCCGTCGTCACGTCGAGCATTTATGCTGTCCTCATTCGCGAAATTATTCTTTGCGGTACGCTTGTCCTTGGCTTGTCTCTCGTCTCGGATCGCCTCTGGTTTGGCGAGTGGACACTGCCTGCCTACAAGTGGCTTTATTTCAACATCTCACAGTCCCTCGCCGTCTTCTATGGCCGCAACGACTGGCATTACTACTTGTCTCAGGGCATCCCTCTCCTAACGACAACCTTCCTCCCCTTCGCCCTTGTCGCCCTCTACAAGACCCCCTCTACAGGCATCCGTGTCACAGATCTCACTCTCCGCACGCTTGCCGCCTCTGTCTATGCCATGATCGCCACCCTCTCCCTCATCTCCCACAAGGAGGTCCGCTTCATCTATCCTCTACTACCAATGTTGCACGTCCTTGCCGCGCCTCTCGTATCCTCTTTCTTCACAAACCCCGCCCCCGCCCCGACAAGGGAAAAACCGCTTCCTCGCCCGACTCTCGCCCGCAGGCCCCTCGTGTACATAGCCCTCCTGCTCAACGCCACACTCGCAGGCTACCTTTCCATCTTTCACCAGCCCGCTCCGCTGCAGGTCCTCGATCTGTTGCGTGCCGATTTCGAGCGCGTCCACCCCGGTCCAGCCTCCGTCCTGCCACCTTTCCCAGAAGTCCTTCCTGTCGAGGCAGAGGCAGACCCGCTGTTCGCGCTCTTCCTCACGCCGTGCCATTCGACCCCGTGGCGCGCCCACCTCCTCCACCCCGCCCTTCGCGCCCGCGCCTTGACGTGCGAGCCGCCGCTGCATACGGCGCCCGACTCCCCCGAGCGCCTGTCCTACCGCGACGAGGCTGATCGCTTCTACGACGATCCCATCGGCTTCCTCGGCCGCGAGCTATGGCCCACAGAGGGCGGGGCATCACCCGTCCCGCGCTACATCATCGGCTTCGAGGGCATAGAACCTTGGATCACTGAGTTCTTCGCCGCCAACCAGCACCTCGACGTCCACCCGCGTCGCGTCTGGTCGGCCTGGAACGGTCTCTTCAGCGAGGACTGGCGGCGTGCTGGGCGTCTGGTGGTCTGGCAGACGAGGCCCGTGAAGAGGGCCCCTCCGCCCGTCAAGGAGACGTAATAGGATGAGTGGGATGTATACATAGCTACTTGTCTGTGTGATACTTCACACGCCAGATATACCATGTACGATATTGCAGCAACATTTAACCACGAACACTGCGTTCAGCATTCCATCATCAGTTCAAATGCATGCACTCCCATGTTACAAGACGAACCATCACACGCAAGGCAGCCTACAGGCAAAGACATCGTATCATCCCCGCTATATTCAGATAGAGATGTTCTCTATATCACATCATCTTCGCCCTGCCGACGGCGCATCCTACCTCCAATCCACGACGGGGGCAGACAGACAGGGAGGAGAACAGGCCAGACTCAACCCCCGGCCCACCCCCCACTCCCCCAAAAAAGTACGTACATGGTATCAAAGGAAGGCAAATAGGGTTCATCAGCCTCCAAAGGAGAACGACAGCAGTCCCAGAGCAGAAATCCGACGTCCGAGAGCACGCAAGGGGCAAGAGCAACTCCGGTCCACGTCAAGAGCGGAAATCATTTGAAAGGCAAAGAATAACGAAGAGACAACTCTGCACATTATAAGTAGTCCGTTTCCCTTATCCCCCTTTCCCCTCCACCGTCGCTACGTAAGGAGGAAAACGGAAGGGGAGTGACAAAAACACACACAAGAAGCCTACATCAAGTCCCGTGGTTTCCATGAAATCAGCTTCGAGATCTGCCTCGACCCGGCTGGATGAGGTCAAGAAGGAGCAGAGGAAAAGGGAAGGAGTAGAACAAGAAGAACAAAATCGTATTAAAGGGTGGGAAGGGGGAGGGGGAAAAGGTGGGTAGTGTATTCTCCTTGGCTGTCATGGTGCAGATCTCCCGCGCCCGGCAGCGCTGATCACCTGCAACTGGTGGGCGCCTTCAGGCAAAGAACGATCAATGCCATGATATCCCATACCGTATACCACTCTACTTGGTGCCTGCTCAGGCTCTTCGACCGTTGTTGGCAAGTCACAGGGAACGGAGTTGTGGAATTGACGGCTGTTGCT